AATGATTTAAAACAATTAGATCCAATAGTTTGTTGGCTCTGTTTTCGTCATAGATAGTAGTTGAACTTATCTGTAAGACGTTCAGTCGAGGAGTTGAGTCATTTAAGCAAATAGTAATCGCGTCTGTGATAGCGTCGGGTAGGTTCTTTTCGTCTGACCGTCGGGTCACGTTCGTGTCATGTCCGTTGGTAAGAGGTATCATAGCTGTAATTAAGTGATTGTTAGTTTCTGAATTAAGAGGACCTGGAAATGAAATATCATTTTTATTAGAAAAATGATTGTTGCTCTGACTGTGTACGTTATTTATATTATTTGATCGCAAGGAATCATTGGAATTTAAGAGATCAATCTCTGATACGCACTCGGTATTTTCAGTAAAATTTTCGATCTTCAGTACAGAATTCTCGTCATATCCTTTAATTTTTTGCGTCTTAATGTTTTCATAGGAAGCCTTGAATACTCCCTCTTGAGTTTCATCAAATTTTGTACTTATTATTTCTGCTACATTTGAGAAATTATTTTTTGGGTAATGCGATTGTGTTTCATTGTGTGACTCTTCTTCAATTTTATATATACTTTCATTAATTTTTTGAGTACTTTCTTTAGAATTATTATTTTTATTTTCAAAGGATTTTTCCTCCTGGTTACCCACTTTCTCCCTTGGACGAGGAATCTGGAAATTGTCCCCTTGGCTGGGAGGATCGTGGTATGGATAGGAGAATTGAGAATTTTCCCTTGAAATCTTATCTAAGCCTTTATCTAATCCTTTAAGAAGAGTCGATTCTAACTTTTTATGTTGATTAATTTTTTCTTTTCGTTTGATAGGAGCATGGAAGGTCGCTCCTTGTTTTTCGTTTTGAGTTTCCGTTATTAGACGAGGAAGTTGAGAGTCATCTCCTTTTCCAAAATTGCTGTCTTCAAAATTTCTTGATTCGAGATTTTTCTCCAGTGAGTTAATATGTACATGATTGAATGTACTTTTACCGTTGCATGATGCCATATTTCGTGATTCCTTTTCTTCGCGATCAAGAATATGTTTCCCATTGTTTTTAGAATTTTCGCAATTATCATCATTATTATCTCAAATTTTTCCATCTTTAATATCGTTATCCTTCTCGTTATCCTTTAAAATTGCGAGTCGTATATTAATAGTTGGTATTAAAATTTCTATCTCAGTATCCAAAGAATTAATTACGTTAGAGTAAGCCTTGCCGTCAATATTTTTTATTAAGCCGGTTGGTTCTACTTCTACACCTTTTCCTATAGTTATCTTGGGTAAATATCCCTCTTTAATATGCGGATTTCCAATGCGCACGAAGAACAATGCTTTTGAGCGCGCGGGAATTATTACAGATTCTTGTGAATAAAAAGGAATTTTAGTGGTTAAAACTTCTAAGTGACCTTTTGAATAATCGATTTTAGCTTTAGTTTGTTGAAAAAAATCGTTGCCTAATATCCCACATGAATGAATAGGAAAATCATCAGAAATTACATGAAAATCGACAGGAATTCCCAAAATTATCTTGGTAATTTTTCCGATAGTGTATACGGGTGAATTGTTGATTCCATTTAACTTTAGAATATGTGTTGGATCTAAGTCTGGAGTTCCTGAAATACGAGTTTCTTTGATAAGGTTAGGGCCCGATCCCGTATCCAACATAAAAGTTTCAAAATAACTATTTCCGTTTAAACATAATTGAACAGTAGGAACGCAGCTTTCTTTATTTAAATTAATTTCTACCGGTCTAATTATTGGAGCTCGCTTATAGTGTTCTCTATCAGTGTAGTCATCACTGGGCGCTCCGATCCGTCGGCTCCCCGATTTGCGCCCGCCGTCGGGGACCCTTGAAAGTTTTCCTGATTCCTACGGTTCCTTTCAAGTCGTAGTGCGCAATTCTCTATTAAATGTCCCGTTGTTTTGCAATATCTACAGTGATCCGACGTATTCTGTGCAGTTCGATGATTCTGATTATTATCCAATGGTTGATCTTCGCGGCAATCGCGAGCGTTGTGACCGAGTTTCCCACATATTTGACATGTTATTGGTCGCGATTGATTCTTAGCAATTTGCCTTTCGCGACATTGAGATGCTAAGTATCCGCGTCTATTGCACCATTGACATATTTCTTCACTGAGCGTAGTATTATAGTTGGAATTAGTGTAGCAATTTCGAGCGATGTGTCCCATTTTATTACAGTTTCGACAAATCAAAGTATTTGAATTTGACGGGTTGCTTCTGCATTCTCTAGAGCTATGACCAGGACGTTGACAATTTTGACAAATAACATTTGGTTGATTACGATATAACAGACAATTTTGTGCGGAATGACCGGGTTTGAGACAGATTTGACACGAAATAATATCACTTTGAACTATTTTCACGGGATTACGAGTATTTGGATCTCTAAATCGACATTTATCAGCACTATGTCCGCGTTTTTTACAAATTTGGCAAATTAAAACTTCGTTACCTAAATTTGGAGTCGTTACTTTGTATAGAGATAATCGACAATTGTCCTCGGTATGTCCGGTCTTCTGACAGATTGCACAAAAATTAGTAACAGATGTAGAGACTGATGGGTTACGAATATTTTTAATTGCTCGTAATTCCTTTTCGATTTCCAACGCTTCCCGTATAGTATGTTCGACATCTAGATTTCTAGAAACACGTTGCTCGATTTCAGGTATTAATCCTCTAATAAAACTATGACATAATTGTTTTTCTAGTGAAGTGGTATATGCCGCATCGGCGGATCCGATGTTAGTGCGATAGGATTCTAGAATTCGTTTCCCCGTGGATTTTACTCGGTTTGCGTACGCGATAACGGATTCGCCAAGAGAACGATATAAGATAGGTTGTGCTTTGTTACAGTGCTTTGTCAATGATGTTGTCTGTTTTAAACTTTCATCCGGAATAGGACTAAGAGGGTTATCAAAAGCTCGCGGTTTTAACCCGAATGCAGTTTCTGAAAGCGGACTGTCACTCAAAATTCTTCGAATGTCAGGAGTTGTGGGTTCAATTATAGGTAAGAGAGTAGATGCAGGGGGAACACTTGAAGATTCAGAGGGTGCAGAAGGAGCGTAAGGTGTGGATGCGTATTGTGGCTCAATTGTTTTAGAAGTTTTAGGCGTTGCTTGTATGGCCTGTTGATATGCCTTTTCAACCTCCGATTTATCTGAATTTGATCGCGTATTTATGCCCTTTTTCAACAATCACTCTTATCATCCCGGACGAGCCCCCAAATTTTATATGTTACGTCCTGGAGGAGGAGCGCAACTTGGCGCTTGCTTTCGCAAGCTCCGACGTACTCGCAAGTCAGCGGTACAGATCAAGGATCGGAGCGATCCCTTTATCTGACGCGGACGTACACCGGTGGTCCTTGATTTAGGTCAAGGAACTGAATCCTTTTACCTGGGATAGGACCGTGAGCGACGGTTGAAGGAAGGGAGAATCTTTGTTGAGAATAATTAGTCGGTAATCGTGATTGGCTTACAATTACAAACAACTTGTTTTATTAGTAATTAGACGGATGTTCACAATGAAATAAAATTTACAAGCTTTTATAAAGTGTACGTATACATAGTTGTATAAACAATCGCGGTCTGAGCAAAATTCCGTGTTCGTTATGTCCGACTGTGATCGAAAGGTTTGGCCACTGGGGTCTGATTTAACAATTAAGGAGGAATGCCAAGGGGAATAGAAAACGGAAGTAAAACGAAAGGAAAAGAAAAGAGAGAGAAGGATAGATAAAAAAATGAAACGAAAGAGGTCACTCAGGTAAAATAAAATATAAATAACTTACTGCTGGACTTCTCTGATCTTAGTAGACAATGAAAGGTGTGGTTGCTGCGTCTCTGTGAGAATAGATGCCTCAAGTTCTGCGCCAAGGACAGGCAGCTGGTTTCGGCAGGATCGCTCTCAATGGCCCAAGAAGGCACAAGATCGTTGCACCGAATAATTAACAAGTGAAGAATACTGGTTGGTCTAAGCCACAAGTTGGCTTGATTGTTAAGAAAACCCTGAAGGGGTGCTGGAGAGAAGCGTCTGTCCTGGGTGCTGGATCGGCGAGAAGTGAATGAGGCTTTTGACTTTTCTCAAAAAGTCAGCTCGGTTGAGAGAGTGGAGTTTTTAGGGGAATGTTCCAGATGATTATTTTATAGGAGATAAGATGCATGTGGCAATAAGAGGATTTCGAAAGACTTTTGTAAATAAAAAATCGTGGCAGCTATCTTAAGAGGTAAATATCGATATTTATAAGAACGATGTCGTGATGCTGGTATCAGTGATTAAGTTCGTAGGAAATCAAATAGGGATTAGGTTAAGATTATTAGTATTTTCGGGGTATCAAAATTTCCAGAAATTGTTCGTGTGATAACTTGTGAGGTAGGTCGTGTGGTAACATGCCTGAGCGCATTTAGACGTGTAATCAGTAAAAATAAATTCGATTTCTCTTATTTATATAAGAGTTTTGAGGTTCGCTGAGTCAGCATGACGTAACAATATATATATTTTCTTTTATAGATATTACAAGAACAAACACAAAGAAAAAGAAAGAGAAATGCGTCACAAATAGCAGAAAAGTGTCAAGAAAGTATTGAAAAATTTATAAATATTACTATACAAGAAAAAGAAAGTAAATTGGAAATACAAAGACACATACTTGCAGAGTACAAACAACTGAGAATTAGTTATGAGGAATCCTTAAAAAAATATAAGAACAATTAGAAGTTGCAAATAAATTAAGAGAAGAAAAAAATATTCTTTTAAAAGATCTCATTGGAAACAAAAATAAAAACTAAGAAAATGAAGAAACCAAAGAAAAAAGGAAGAACTATATATATTGGTTTTGTTTCGTTTATTTATCATATATGTTTTGTTTATTACATAACTTTTACGTTTCGTTTATTGTTTTAATTTTACTTTATCTTAATTTATAAGTAAAAATATGCAATTTATATGTAAAAATAAATTACAAAATATTTGACATATAACAATGCATTATTTATTATGTATATTTGTATAGTTGTATTTGTATAGTTGTATTTATGTATGCATGTATAATTGTATTTATTGAACATTTAATTGGCGACATATTTCATCACAAATATATATTCCGGTTTCATTTTCTCTTAGTACTTCATCAATACGTTGTTCAATGTTTAAACCTTGTACTTCAATATCTGGACATTCATCCTACATTGGAGCTTCAAAATATTCTATTTCTCTTGCGTTCGCCATATTATGGAAGTACACAATAAGCATGTATAACGCGAACCATTCTTACTATATCACGTAACTATATATAACTATATAACGTAAAAGTGATATAACTGCCTAACCCGTTGTTTTAGACAACCTAAAGCATTCTCTACAATTATGCGACAAGAACTTAATTTTTGATTAAAATTTCTTTGTGCATGTGTCAAGTGCTTTATCCCTAAATAGAACAATTAGTTGTTTTAAGAAAGGGTACGCACTGTCTCCTAATAAATAGTAATTATCTAAAAAAGAAAGATTAATAACATTTGAATAACATTTCAGATTGATAACTCAGGTGCAAATTATTAATTCTTATAATTTTTATCATGTTTTATTTAATTAAATTTTAAATAACTTCTGCAAAGTTCATGAAGATCATTACGAACTGGTGAATTTTTAAATACTCTCGCGTCATGGACGGAGCCAGGATATCCAACAAATACATCAAGAAATTTCATATTGTGGTTGGCTATACCTTGGATATGCAATGAAAAGTATTGTTTCCGATTAATATATGAATTGGAATCTTCTGTAGGTTTTTCAATTTTAATGTGGGATCCGTCTATGATACCTAAAAAGGATATTATAGCTAATAAAGATAACATAAATACATTAAATAGAAATAATAAAAATATCAACAAAATTTAATTTCGATTGAAATAGTGAAATATTAAATACCAATTACACCAGGGAACTCTTTCTCATTGCGATAATGAGAAGCTGTTTCTTCTTTTTCATCCGCAGTTGGATATCGAATAATATTGGGTGCTAAATACATAATAAAATCAGTTACTCTGGTAATAACTTTATGCAAAATACCAATAAGTTATCCAAAATCTGTCAGCCACATCATGATAACCAGCACTTTCATGGCCTACAAAGGTAACATAAAATTTGTTTTTCTGCAATAACTTTTAAACGTCCTCCTGTAAAAGAGATGTATGCGTTGTGATAGTTATCTTTTTTATAAAATAAATATGGGATTAATAAATAAAAATTTAATTTTTTAATATACACATACCTTGTAAGGAAGTAAATATCTCAGATACACGAATTGGTTTATTAAATCGTATGCTACTTCTCTTGATAAACGAAAGTGCATAATGAAATCGATGTTGGTATAATTTTGGACTATGTTTTCCACATAATTATTTATTTTTACGTATTCTATTCGTTGAATCATTCCAAAAACTGGATGAAATATTTGTAATTCATTATGATCTAAATATAAAACATAAATTGATATATTAAATTAGGTTAAGTTACATTTTTTAATTTTTATTTCGTTCATAACATATTTGTTATAAATTATATTACCATCATTATCTTCGACCAAAAGTGGTGGTGGTAATGGTATTAAATCAAAACTTCATCTAAAGACTCAAGTTGTAGTTCAACTAACATATTAGGTATAATAGGCCTACTGTGTCTGTTGTGCACCATATTGAATACTGCACCATTGCGTTCTTTTCACTGTAAGGCCCCTTGCATAATGCCAGGCAACAAACAATAAGAATAAAAATAGACCAATCACAATCGACTATTACAAAAATAATCTATTGTGATTGGTCTATTTTTATTCTTATTGCCTGTTGCCTTGCATTGTGCAAGGGGCTTTACAGTACTCTTGCACTCATGCTGCCCGTGCCTGTACTATATCAGTTCTAGTGCATGAACTAGTGCAACGAATACAGATGAAAAGAACAGACCTATAGTTATAAGCATGTTCTGAATATGGGTCATAGTATTTATATAGTAAAGAAAATTGCCGAATAAGCGCTAATGCAATTATGCTATTCTTTCATCGCATTTTTCCATATATATCTTTTCTGACAGACTTTGGACAAATGTGTGTGTGCTGCATTGTCATTTCGACTTTTCACACAGATCTTATATGAATGTGAATGCAACGCTGCTGATATTTGCCTTCTCTCCGAAATGTGCATTCTGCTGCTGCTTCTCGGATTCTTCGACTTGCTGATGTATATACAGTGTAACATAATAAAGAATAATTTGAGCAATGAATATTATTACAAGAAAATGAATCTTCAGAAACAGCCCATTCAGCATAGTAAGATTGCAGGAACATTGTAGCAATATTTCCTTGCAATATTGCAACATTGCAACATTGCGAAATGTTGCTGCAACGTTGTTTCGAGACTGCAGCAACGTTAAAATGTCCGCTTTTAGAAATGATTGCAACGAAACATTATAGCAATATTGTAATGTAACGAAATTGCAATAATGCATTATTCCTGCAATCACCGCGTAATATTACATATAAGAATATTTTTGTTTTGGATCTATAAATATTAGAAGCATATGAAGACATAAAATAAGAAAAGCTTAATGTAAACAAGGGTTTGCAATATTTTTATATTTAAGATATATATTTACGTATATAACTTTAAATTTATATTATATAATTTATAAAATTTATATTAGGTTGGGGAAAAAAATCTATTATTTTTCCGCTAGATGGCTTCAGTGGTATATATCATGTGATGTATTAATCGCATAGGTTAATATTTATACTCGTTGGAAAAGTGACATTCCGTACTAAAAAAATTCTTTAACGGTTTTGTGATTTGTCGATTAAGTTATAGCACGTAAATGTGAGTTATAGCACGTAAAAGATGTACGTCAACAAAGAGAAAATTTGGTATATTTTACAATTTTGCTTCGATAAAGACAAAAATGCAAGCCAGGCGGCTGTAATGGTGAATGGTGTTTATGGTCCCAATACTGTCACAGCCAATCACGCGCAATTTTGGTTTCGTCGATTCCGTTCCGGTAATTTTGATGTTAAAGATGCATCTCGCACAGGTAAGCCCGTTGTCGAAAATGTCAATAAAATTATGGAAATGACCGAAGTAAACCGGCATGTTAGCAGTTGTAATATCGCCCAGGAGCTGAAGATCGACCACAAAACAGTTTTAAACCATTTGCATAAAGCTGGATTCAAAAAAAAGCTCGATGTTTGGGTGCCACACGAATTGACGCAAAAAAACATGATGGACCGAATTTCAATCTGCGAAGCCTTGACCAAACGGAATGAAATCGAACCATTTCTGAAAAGGATGGTGACTGGAGATGAAAAATGGATTACATACGACAATATTGTACGGAAACGATTGTGGTTAAAGCGCAGCGAAACGGCTCAAACGGTGCCAAACCAGGATTAACGGCCAGGAAGGTTTTGCTGAGTGTTTAGTGGGACTATAAAGGAATCATCCACCATGAGCTGCTTTTATATGGCCAAACACTAACTTCGGACCTCTATTGTCAACAATTGGACCGTTCGAAGCTAGCGATCGACCAGAAGCGGCCAGAATTGGTCAATAGAAGAGAAATTGTTTTTCATCAGGACAATGCCAGGCCACATATGTCTATAGTGACTCGTCAGAAACTCCGGGAGCTTGGTTGGGAAATTTTGATGCATCCACCTTATAGTCCGGGCCTGGCACCAAGCGATTACCATCTGTTTTTGTCATTGCAAAACTTCCTTGATGGTAAGAAATTGACCTCAAAAGAAGACTGTGAAAATCGCTTAGTCGAGTTTTTTGCAAATAAGGACCAGGGCTTCTATGAAAGAGGGATCATGAAATTACCTTTAAAATGGTGACAAATTGTAGAACAAAACGGTGCTTATTTGACCAAAATCGAACAATCTTAACTATGTTAAATAAAGCCTTGAAATAAACGAAAAAATAATGGATTTCTTTTTCCCCAACCTAATATAATAATACGAAATTATTGCCTAACACTTGTTTACTTTTAGTTTTTTCTTATTTTGCCTTCATATTTTGCTTCACTCTAGAATAAACACATATGTACATATATGTGTATATAAAAAAACTTTATTTATATAAATATATATATTTAAAAACATTCATTTTAACTAATAAAATTCGTTCATAAAAAAGCAATCTTTGGTCGTGTCATATCGTGTCACATGGTGTAATACATACTTTAATAACATACATTTTAAATATGTAAAATTCATTAATAAGGAAAATATTTGGTCGTGTCATATCGTGTCACATCGTGTAGTACACTCTTTAATAACATACATTTTAAACAATATGTAACATTCATTAAAAAATAAAAAGAACGTTGATCATATCGTGTTACATCGTGTAGTACCCCTTATGAAAAAAACCCTCAATTTTGGATGTAAACATTGAAATTTGGGTGTTTACCATGAAAGTTGAATGTTGAGCATCAATGTTGAGTGTCGGTTGGATGTGACTATCAAATTTTCGGTGTAACTTTGATGTAGATTCTCAATATTGAGTGTCAATTGGGTATAACCATCAATATTCGTTATTATTTTGGTGTAGACACTCAATATTGGGTGTCGGTTGGGTGTAACCATCAATATTCGATGTATTATTGGTGTAGACACTAAATATTGAGTGGTTAAGCATTGGACATCAGTACTGGGTATCGGTATAGTATAACCATTAATATTCAGTCTTAGTTTGATGTAGATATTTAATAGTATGTGTCGGTTAGAGCATCAATGGTGCAATAGTGCGCGCGTGACAGTGGTTAAGAAACCTATATTTTGAATAAAATATAATGTTGAGTAATTAGTCTTTTATTCTTCATTTTTCAGGATATTTCAAGTTTGCAGTAGACCACAATATATACAAATGAAAGTATGTTTTCGTGAAACCCTTGTTTATTCATTGTATTCTCATTTAATAACTTATGTAAATGAGGTGTTAATTGAATAACTAAATATGGTAAATATACTTTCATTTTACACATTCATTTTGATGATGTTCCATCAACTGGATATAATATTCGAATAAAGATATATATATATATCTTGAGTGAATATATATATATACTCACTATGCAAATAATAAGAACGTTAGGTATTAAATACATAACATATATGTTTAATGTCGTAGTTTCTGAGTAGGACATTAAACATATGCATTTAATACCTAGTGTTTACTATTTACGCAATGAGTATATATATAGGGTGAAGAAAAAACCCCGGGACAGCTGAAAATTTCGAAAAATATACACTTTATAAAAAAATATTTCAGACAAAAGTTGTAGCGTTGAAAAAGACCTATTTACCGATCTTAACAATTTGACCTTGGGTGTCGTCATCAATGTCAGAACAAAGTCACCTCGGAATTTTTAAACGGAACCTCCAATCTTTTATTGCATATTCTTATAGCCCTTCTTCAGACCTTTTCAAAGCACTATGGTTTTATTCAATTTGAATAAGCTGTTCCGAAGTTATCGAGTTTTTTAAAGTAAGATATCTAGCCAACTAAGGCAAGATCGGAGGATGATCCAGCCAACAAAGGCAAGATCGTAGGATGATCCAGCCAACTAAGGCAAAATCGGAGGATGATCCAGCCAATTAAGGCAAAATCGTAGGATGATCCGGCCAACTAAGGCAAGATCGTAGGATGATCCGGCCAACTAAGGCAAGATCGGAGGAAATGTCCGCCATCAATAGTTTGACAATAAGCTAATCTATCGTAAAAAGATGAAACGGCTTTTTGAATGTAATCAGCAGGGATGAGAGCAGCTTCATCAAGAATTCGATTTCGTAAGTCATCCAAATTTTGTGGTTTTGTTTTGTAAACTCTATCTTTTAAATGGCCCCACAGGAAGTAATCGTTAGGTGATAAATCGGGTGATCGAGGAGGCCATTCTATAGGTCCTCTTCTACTTATCCATCGATGAGGAAACACTGTGTCCAGATAATTACGGACGTCCCTTCCGTAATGTGGGGGGGCACCATCTTGTTGGAACCATGTATGCTCGAAGTTGTCATCCATGATTGCTTGTATTGCTGGAACTATTTCGTTTCTTAGCATATTCTCATATTTTATCGCTGTTAGATTTCCGTCATTAAAGAGTGGACCTATGAGAACATTATTCAAAATGCCTACCCAAACATTCACTTTTTGTGGATACTGCGTGTGTGTTTCTTCAATCCAGTGAGGATTTGTATCTGACCAAAATCTACAATTGTGTCGATTAACGTGGCCATTTAACTGAAATGTTGCCTCATCTAAAAATACTACATTTGATAGATAGTTAGGATCTTTTTAGTTAGGATGTTTTTTCCATCATCAAATCATAAAATTCAATGCGCCTATCAAAATCATCTTCATTTAGCTCTTGTACAAGATGGATCTTATAAGGATGAAATTTATTCATTTTCAATATTTTAAGCACAGACATTTGATCTATTTCACGTTGCTGTCCTACTTTGCAGGTCGAATCATACAGATTTTCGATAAAGGATTGTAGAACATCTAATGATTTTTCTACACTTGTTGCTGATACTGGCCTACCTGGTATTGCACGATTTTTCACACTTCCAGTTTCTTGAAAACGCCTTATCGTTCTTTCAACGGTAGATTTTGAAATGGCATTACCCTGATTACGAAAAGTTTCATTAAAAAGCCGCCTCACATCATTGTACGACCTTAATCGATCATCCTATCCTCTCATTATCAAAAGAGATATGCGTTCTCGTTCTGAAAGACTTGCCATATTGACAAGCAGAAGTGGTAAGATTTAATCTAATCGACTAAATTAAGATTTGGATCAATTCAAAGTTATTCTAAAGACAGTGCTGAAGAATAATAATGAGCACGGAATGAAGTGCAATTAAGTCAGCTTACAACTAGCTT